CCCGACCACACCTACTACTTCACCCACCCGGGATTTGTTGTCATCACCACCAGTTTCCCTCCTTTCCGCCTTCTTCTCCCGTATCATCAACTCAGTGTTGTTTCGTGGCCGGCCATAGCCCCCTTTGGCCCGATACGTTTTGCGTGAACTGTTGACGTAGCGGCGAACAGAGAACTCCGGAATTCCGAAGGCCCAACCCAGGTACGCGGCGACCGGCGCGCCACGTGGCGGCCCCCGACAGCCTAACTTTTCGGGACCGCCTCCACCGCGGAGGGATTTTCCCGTAAACCGTCGCCCACAATGCCCCGACCCCATCGGGCCTTGAGTCCCCTACGCACGCGTTCCCCCCCTTTTCCGCCCAATTGCATTCATATCCTTAAGACTCCCCCACTTTCCCAAAAATCCTTGGCACACCCCCTTTTCGCCCTTCCAGGCCCACACTCTACTCCAATCAGGAAGTCGCGCTGGGCGTGAGGTTGGGCGTCACAGCCTCCCTCCCTCACCAGGATCATCGTTTCCCTCACATCCACCGCGCCGTCCATTACGCTCAACTCCCCACTGGAGATCGAGAATGGAGTCGCTTTCTACCACCTCTCCCCCAAGCTCACCCTCCTCTTCCTCCTCCTGTCATAAGGCTACCCTTCCCCGACAATCTCCAGGATTGGTGTTCGCGATGCCACCTGGATGACTTCCACACTCTCATCTTACGATAAGTGGCACGTGTCAGCTCCACGTCGATTGCTGAGAAATCGACGGATGATGGAGAGAGCAAGCAGGAGCTTGCACAAGATTGGAACCCCCTGGGCGTCACATATGTGACGAATTGTTTTCTGCAGCCGCGCAATTTTCTGCGCAAGACCACTTCGGGGGTTGAATCGGGATGGCTGGGTGAATTGCATGGGTGCCCTTGCTTTGCTTGTTTTTCCTGTGGAATTGAGGCCGGGATAATCGTGCGACGGTTGGTAGCTGATCGCGCCTTAGCGAGCGCGAAAGATAACTGTTGACATAACTTCCTTCTTGTTCTGCTGTGGGAAATGGGAATTTTGGCGCGATCGTCGCGCGGGAAAATCTTTTTGAATTTTCAACTGATGTCGAGCCCCCGAGGGATTTCAGAATTTGATTCGTCTGGAATTTCTTTTTGAGGATTTTGATTAGGAATTTGGGCGCACCTCAATTTCTGCTGCATGGCGCTTCTTGCTTATGCACGCCTTGCCACGTCAGGATCTGTGCTCTGATTTTTCCGTGCCTTAATCCTTGCGTGTAACTGTAATTTTTTTTTTGCGGCCATGATTGCAACCGTTAACCCTCTCGTTCTTGATATCTTTTGTGGCACCCTAATGCTCGCGCACTTCTTTCTCTGTCCTATTGGCCTAAAGTTCCCTAAACGCTTGCATGACCGGATCGATGTGTGGAGTGAGGCTATGTCCCCCATGCTGCGGCCTGGCCATGCAGTCGTAGGCGCTTCCTTCCTTCTTCCCCCTCCTACTCGGACACAATCCCGGGTATCGCGCGCACGCATGCATGCTATAAATTTCGCAAGCGCAATTAACTCGCATTCTAAGAATTTTGGAGTTAGCGCGGTCGAGAGGATCGGCTAACGAGCCAGAGTTGGCAGGTGCATAGAGAGTTGGGCGATCCGACGAGCTGATGCTGGGCATGCGGGGTTGGCGTGGGGCCACAATGGACTGTGGCACACGGGCGGACCTGGCTTGCGTGTTCGGATCAAGCGGGGTGACAACTCTGTTTGGGTGCGAGGCGACAGACTGCCTGCATCGGGATGTTGTAGAGAGAGAGAGAGAGAGAGAGAGAGAGAGAGAGAGAGAGAGAGAGAGAGAGAGAGAGAGAGAGAGAGAGAGAGAGAGAGAGAGAGAGAGAGA